CTCCTTCTGGTTCTCAAGTTGCAAGTTGGGATGGTGATAATTATGGCTGATGAATGTCTCTTAGGAGCTGATGATAGGTTTGTGATGACGAGATGAAGACCAGGGGTGAAGATGGTCACATAAGGTGTTTGTTGGTGTAAATTCAGTGGTTGAAGAAGGAAGCTTGGGTTCAACATTCTTTGTGTATTGATGATGGTGGTTAAAAGGAAGACGATGATGGCCGATGATCTGGAGAAAGAGAGAGAGAGAGAGAGAGAGAGAGAGAGAGAGAGAGAGAGAGAGAGCCCTCTCTTTATTTCTTAATTATTAAAATTAAAATATATAAATATATATTAAATAAAAAAATGAAAGAAAAATGAAAAATAAATACATGAGGGGCATTACAGTCATTTCAGTTTACCGATGGACCAAAAACACAACGAAACTAGCTTAAAAGGACCACGAAGCAAAAAAATCGAGGTTTGGACTAAACCTCGGAAAAAATGCATACTGCAGGGACCATTTTTGCAGTATATATATATATATATATATTATATATATATATATATATATATATATATATATATATCTATATATATATATAAAAGGAAAAGTTATTGGAAAACAAAAAAAACCCTAAAAATAATAAAAATGCATAAAAAAAATACCTAGACATTACAAAACTTTTTTTTGAATTTTTTTATCAAAAAATCGCAGCCTTTTTGACAATTTCGCTGAAAAAAAAATCAATTTTTTTTTTTTTGTAAAAAAAACAAATTTCAAAAAAAATTTCAGCGATTTTATGTTAAAAGCTGCGACTTTTTTGATAAAAAAATTCAAAAAAAAGTTTTGTAATCTCTAAGTATTTTTTTATGCATTTTATGATTTTTAGGGTTTTTTTTTGTTTTCCATAAACTCTATATATATATATATATATATATATATATATATATATATATATATATATATATATATATATATATATATATATAGAGAGAGAGAGAGAGAGAGAGAGAAATTGATTGGAAGAACCTTTGAAAGGTTTAGAAAAGTTGCTCTAATACAACCTGTTATAATTTTGATGATACTAGAAGCAAAACAAACGAATAAGGCTGGAGGGAGTGGTGCCACCGAAACCGCACTCCCTCCTATGCCACGTAGACGCCAACTCAGATTTTTTCTTATTTCATCAACTAGAAACCGCAATGGGTGAGGGGGAAAAAGGTTAGGAGAGAGAAAAGAAAAAAGAAAAGAAAGAAGATAATTGGTTGAGAGAAGAGAGAGAGAGCAAGTAAAAGAGGAGAAAAAGAAAAAGGAGTGCGGTCATGGACTACCGCACTGCGGCCAAAACCGCACAGAACCGCAGCCTGGGGTCGGTGTGCGCGGCTGAGGTGGCACAAACCGCGACCCCAAACAACAGCCACACCCTCTAGCCTAAGATGACCAAAATATTATGTGTAAATGATTACATGGAAAATCACAAGGCATAATAACGTTGTGTTAAAAAAATCTATTTGTTAAGGAAAGATGGAGTGATGAGAATTTGGGAAGGTGTCAATGGTACCCTCAACCTCAAGATACCATTCCTTCAATAAGTGAGTTAAATGGGTAGAGAGTTACAATGCATATCAACGGGTTTTTGAACCCACTTCTTTTCTCTCTCTAGCTTTCTCTCTGTTCTTCCCGACTCACATGTCAGTAAATAAATAAAAAAAAGGGGAAAATACAAAACTAGCAATTTTTCCTAATTACTTATCAAAAAATAGCCAAAAAAAATTCACTTAGCCAAAAATAGCCCACAAAAGAGTAGTTAACTTTCGGTTGACTACGGTCAACAGGAGATGACTACGGTCAACGCCCGTTGACTACTATTTTCCCCTAATGGGCTACTGTTTCAAGGGGCCGTTTACTTTTTCGTGGCCCATTAGCCCAAAATATATAATGAAAAAAATTTCAGATTAGGTCATTTTCCTATTGTTTTCTTTTGTTAGGCTACGTTTTTCTCTCAATTGAGCACCAGAAGAACAATCAGGTTCGTCTACTTTTCTTAAAATTTTTACAGTTTTTGTGATTAGGAGTAGGTTTTGTTTCTGGGGATAAAAATTTTTTTGAAAAAATTTGAAAAAAAAAATATAAAACCGTAGGTTTCATATGAAACCTACGGTGTACAAGTGCCCAATGCACTGTTTGTTTATGGGGATAAAAAAAATTTCGTTTTTTTTTAAAAAAAAATGGTATCAATAGAATAGGAATTGGATGTATTTTGTTGTGGTATAATTTTTTTTATAAAAAAAAGGGAAACCGTAGCTTTTTTGTGAAAACCGTAGCCTACGGTTTGGGAAACCGTAGGTTTTAAAAAACCTACGGTTTTGAATGTCAAAAATGAAAAAAAAAATTATACAAAACGCAAAATAGTAGATGAAATGGCGAAACAGTAGGCGAATCTCGAAACCTACGGTTTTATGGGCTATTTTTGGCCATTTGCTAATTTTTTGCTAAAAATTGAAAATTACCCCCAAAATTTTGCCTTATTAGTAGGAAACCCCAAGAAATATATCCTTTGATAACGTTTAAGAAAAAAGATAATTTGTTTTTTTTTTCTCACGAACACATAGTAATATGAATAAACTTGATTTTTAAACGAGATCCAATCTATTTAAATGTCACGTTATGTGGCTTGATGGAACCATGGGTTGAAAAAAACTGAATCGAACAAAGAAACACATGAGATAAAAATAGTGATGTGGGACCCAAAATTTTGATTGATTGAGGGGGCACCAAAGGAAGTTTATCGGCCTGTCTATATCTTAGATATAGATATTGATAGCTACTTGGTTAGGAATAGAAAGGGGTTTACCCCTCAATTTTCCAATTTCATCCTCTTATTTGATTTTTTGTCTTTTGTTTTTTGTTTTGTTTTTTTTCTTATTTTATTTTTTTTGTTGTTTTTAATTATTATTATTATTATTATTATAAATTTCGAACAAAATTTTATAATTCGGACGACGTTATAAAATTCGAACGACTATATAAAATCGGTTTTAAATTATTTTTTTTTATTATTATTATTATTATTATTATTATTATTATTATTGGGGAAATCTTCAAAAAAGTCCCAAACTTTTGGGAAAAGTTACACTTTTGTCCCAACATTTTTTTTTTAACAAAAAAACCCAGGAAACCGGATAAATCAAACATTTCGGCCCTATTTTACCGGTGACCTTCATTTAGCCGGTTAAATTGGCTTATGTGGCAAGGACTTGCTGAGGTGGTTGGTGAGTCATTTAATGGCCTTGTATTAAACTCTAAATATAGTGGAAAACTTCATTCGTGCCCTAGCAGACAACGATTGAAGCAGGAGCAGTGGAGGACCAAGACAAATGTCTTCTTCGTCTTCTTCATCTTCAATGAATCGTCTCAGAAAGAGGTGCTACTGTGGTGATCCTGTAGGAAGATGGACTTCATGGACTCCATTAAACCCAGGAAGAAGGTTTATAGGATGCCCAAATTACCAGAATGGACTCAAAGATTGCAAGTACTTTCGTTGGGTGGATCCTCCTCTACCAAGCCAGTGGTATGCAGATATGTTATTAGTATTACACAACAATGTCAATTTGGAGAACCATCGAATATTTGGGGAGTTTGGGCAAGAACAACCAGCTGGGAACTTTTTTGGAGACGTTGTGGAACAACCAATGGCTCAACAACCAATTGCACAACAAGCAGTGGAAGGAGGAAGATGGAAATCATTGCTTTATGTCTCTGTGGTTTCTTTTGTGTTTTTGTTGGTTATGTTGATGGATTGGTATGATAGAAAGTTGTTTTAATGTATTTTGGTTGTGTTTCTTTTGGTTATGACTAAGGGTTGTTAGTTTACTATGAATGTAGTATCTTGTTACTCATATGATTATGAATGAAGTATCTAGTTTATGTATGAACTTTAAATGTGTTGATTGTAATCAATGAATGGAATCAAAGTATGCTGTAATAAGTTAATAATGGACTTAATACACAAACGGATCAATACATAATGGAGTCAATAATGCATAACCGGAATCATGCATGACCGGAATCATGCATGACTGGAATCATGCATGACCGAAATCATGCATAACTAGATATGGCTTTAAATCTTGACAGGTATGGCTTTCAAGAATGGATGGCCACATTCATGGGAAGATTTTGAAGGTTTAGTGTCTGAAATGACCATTTTACCCTTACATTCCAACAAACAATTTACTCAATGTACATCAATTTTAACATAAGAGGATTATGGAGGCAATTAAAAGAAAAGGGAAAATAAAATAGAACATGTAGTAATATTAACCAAAGCCAAACAAGTTTAACATAAGAGGATTGGAATCATGCATGACCGGAATCATGCATAACTAGTATCCATATAAGCAAACATTGTATGCACAAGTAATGTATGCATGACTGGAATCAATATAACCAAAGGGAACATAAACATTGTTAATCATAGAACATGTTGTAATATTAACCAAAGCCAAACAAGTTTTATGGCAAGTTGTGTAAATGCCCAAAAACATGATCAAGGGGCCCAAAGCCTTTAGTTTATATGGATGTAAACAAAAGGGGCTATCAACAAAAGAGGCTATCATCAGTAGAGGCTTATCAACAAAAAGGGCTATCAACATTTGCCCAAACCCAAAAGTTTTATACATGTTCTTAACAAAAGTAGGGATTAGAAACACCCTAATCTAGACTAAGGGGGTAGGATGAACTCATCCCCTTTCCATTCTTGACAGCTACCACCTTTTGCAACTTAATCTCTGTTATCCTTTCCGAAGGCTTCCTCCTCCTGACTTGATTCACTTTGTTCCTCTTTGTAGTCCTCCTTCTGACTTGATTCAATTGTTGTGTGATAGGTATTTCTCTCTCACCATCCATCCTTTCCTCATTCATCATTACCTCACCCATCCCTGGCTCATCTATGTCATCCTCCTCATTCATCCTTTCCTCATCTCCAAGTACTTGATTTGTAGGGAGTTCTTCAACTGTTATTTGGCTAACAATTCCAACATCCTGTAACAAGCATAACAAAAAGGCCAGTTAGCAAGATTTAACATCACAAAATGAATAATGAGATAGAAAGCATACTTGTGACATAGCAACATCCACATCTTCAATTTGTTGTACTTCAGCTTCACTCAATCCAAGACCTTCCATTTGTTGTACTTCTGCTTCACTCAATCCAAGACCTTCAATTTGTTGTAATTCTGCATCACTGAGTCCAAGACAGTCCATGATCTCTTCTGTAGTGTATAAAGATTTCCTTAGGTTGTCAATTGTTAAGCTTATATGATTGTGAAAATCTGGACTTGCATCATTTTCACTCTCAACAGTTGGAATGGCAACAAGTTCAGGCTCACATTTAGGAAACTCAGAAGTACCCTCCCCATATTCTGTTTGGACTCCTTCACTAGATCCCCTACCACCACCTCTATTGCCTCTTCCACTAGATCCCCTACCACCACCTCTACTCCTTCCTCCACCAACCCTTCCACCACCTTTAGATCCTGTTTTAGTTCCTGACCAATTAAGCAAATCAGGTTCCAACCTAGGCCTGCCCATTTTTTTCTTTGGTTGAGGTTCTGGAACCACTGTAGGATTCTTGCATGATGTTTTATTGTGTCCCCTTTGTAGACAATTTTTACACTGGACAGTTCTACCCTTGCTTGACACTTGAGAGTACTTGTCTTGATTTTCTGAAACATGTCTTCTTCTTTTAACACTAGGCCTTCCTGGCATCCTCCTTTCAATGGGTGGAAGGGGCTTAGTGTAACTTGTTTCTTCCCATAAGATACTTCCATTAACTGGGTGTATATTCTGATCATAAGTTGATTTGTAATTATTCTTGCTGAACCAACTACTTATAAAGTTAACCGGATCTTGATTGGTGTACAATATTGCCACTTGTGCATGCACACAAGGTATTCCTGAAAGTTCCCATAATCTACAAGCACATGTTTTTTCCTTCAAGTTAACTCCATAATTCTGAAACCCATTCCTTACTTCATATTCATTCACTCCACTTGGAACTGCATGCCAACTTCTGCAAACATATAAGATAGAACATAAGATGCAAACACATAAGATAGAACATGTAAAAACAAAACAATTGAGAATACTTACTTAATGTCTTCTCCAAATTCTTCCATCTTTGTTATCGCGGAAGGACAAACTTCACCAACCCAGTTTTCAGCCTCTTGTTTCAGATTGAAAGCCCTTTCCATCATGTAAAGCCTAATCTCTTCAAGCATAGTCAGCAAAGGTTTCTTTCTTGCGTCTACAATGATTGCATTGAAACACTCAGCAATCCCATTCTCTACAGCCTCACAAGCCAAGCCAGTAGAGAAATAAGCCCTGCACCATGAAGTTGGTTCCCTTGCCATGAGATGATCATAAGCAGCAGAACTTATTGCCCTAATCCTTTCCATATTAAACTTGAAATCTCCTTCTGTGGTAGATTTTGCAGCTGCCCAAAACATGTTTCTGAACTGCACTCCACTATAAACTTTTCTGAAATTGGCATAGATATGCCTTGCACATTGCCTGTGCTCAACATATGGTAGAATATCCTTACTAGCTTCAACAAGACCCTATAACATGAACAAAAAAGTTAATTAGCAACACCATACACTATTGTAAATAATGAAAAATAAAGAGATAGTTACTTTACCTTGTGTTGGTCACTGATTACACACACACCCTTTCCACCCTGCAATCCAAGATCACCATTAACCAAATCCAGGAACCATTTCCAGTTGTTCTTGTTCTCTACATCAACAACTGCCCAAGCTATAGGATACACCTGATTATTGGCATCCCTACCTATTGCAGTTAACAATTCACCCTTACATTGTCCCTTCAAAAAAGAACCATCCAATCCTATTACCCTACGACATGCCCTTTTCCACCCCTCTCTTATTGCTTTAAAGCAAATGTAGAATCTATGAAATGTTGTGGTATTATCAGGGTTTACAGTAACTGTAATCCTAACTGTGCTGTCTGGATTGGATCTCAGTAGCTCATGCCCATAATCCCAAACTCTTGCATAGTGTTCACTCAAATTCCCATGAATTAATGACAGTGCCCTCATCCTTGATCTATAACACTTTGACCATGAAATTTTGCAATGAAATTTACTTTGTATAATTACCTGCATCTCTTTGCATTTTAAATTAGATTTCCTAATCAACTCCTTCACAAATTTCCTAGCTAACCAGGTAGGATCCATAAGCCTTGAATTGTTAAAATTCCTGACACTATCATCTTTTTGACTTGGAGAGACCTTTCAGTACTCATCCAAGAAGCCCTAACCACAAATGGACACTTCTCTAGATCACTTCCACATATTGCCACTAGTCTAACACTATCACATTTTTTGAAACGGATTTGAAAACCCTTACTAACAGCATAGTTGGTCAAACACAATTTCAGTTCATGTGGGGATTCATACCTTTCACCAAGCATTGGTCTCATTTTGTTCCATTTCACCTTTGGATTGTGGGTGGAATACTCAAATTCCTCATCACTACTTTCCTCGTTACTACCTTCCAGATAATCTTCATCTGATTCTTCTTTAGTGATTCCAGTTTGAGCATCGTTTCCAGTTTCAGCATCATCTACTGCCTCGTAATCGTCTTCTTCACATAGAATATTGAGAAATTCGTCTTTGCATCTGGAAGCTTGTTTCTTTTTGAAGTACGCATCCAGATCCACATCTATTGTATCAAAATCATGGATGTCATCCATGATTTCAACTGCACGGGGGTAAAAAACCCTAGTTTATTGAGGGGGAGGTGAGAAAGTGAAATGAGAGAGGTAAGTTGTATTGTGTATGTATGTGTGTAAATGATATCGATTAAACCCACGTAAGCAAGTCCTTGCCACATAAGCCAATTTAACCGGCTAAATGAGGGTTGCCGGTAAAATAGGGCCAAAATGTTCGATTTACCCGGTTTCCTGGGTTTTTTTGTTCAAAAAAAAATGTTGGGACAAAAGTGTAACTTTTCCCAAAAGTTTGAGACTTTTTTGAAGATTTCCCTTATTATTATTATAAATTTCGAACAACATTTTATATATCGGATGACATTATAAATTCGAACGACTATATAAAATCGGTTTTTAATTCTTTTTTAATTTATATTTTATAAATCGGTTTTTAAAATCCGATGACATTATAAATTCAGATGAAATTTTAAAATTCGTACGACATTATAAATTTGGACGACATAAATTGGTTCGTTATTACATTTGTGTGGTGCGTTATGCGGATTGGAAACAAACTTTACTTTTGTTCCATTTTATATAGTCGTTGAAATTTTATAATGTCGTCCGAATTTATAATGTTGTCCGAATTTTAAAATGTTGTCCAAATTTTATATGGTTATCGAAATTTATAATAATAATAATAATAATAATAATAATAATAATAATAATAATAATAATAATAATAATAATAATAATACTATTATTATTATTATTATTAATAATAATAAAAGAAAAAACAACAAAAAAACAAAAAGGAAAAAAAAAAAAAAAAAGAAAAAGAAAAAGAAAAAGAAAAAGAAAAAGAAAAAGAAAAAAAAATGATGTCAAATCAAATGTAAAAGGTTGATTAGATTGATGTTAGGGGGGATAAAATCAGTTAAGGGGGTACTTATAGCACAATCTAATCAGTTAAGGGGGGAACCGGTCATCATATCAGTTCAACTAAAAAACTGATTTTTAAAACATTGATTCATTCAATCAATTGGGGTGCTTAAATACAAAGTTAAGAAAAAATATGGAAAAGATAACAACTAAATAAAGATTAAAAATAGGAGATAATAAACAAAATCTTTTACTCCCCCTCAAGTTGGAGCATGTAAATTGCATATACCCATGTTGACCAGTAAATCCTTTAGTCTAACGGCTCCCAAGGCATTTGTAAAAACATCAGCCAATTGTTCTTTTGTGTTTATAAAAACTGGTCGTATCTCTTGAGACTCAACTCGTTCCTTGACGAAGAAACAATCCATTTCTACATGCTTAGTTTGTTCATGGAAAACTGGATTGTTAGCAATGTGTCTAGCTGCCTGATTGTTGCAAAAGAATGAAGTTGCTTTAGTGGGTGCCACCTTCAAGATTTTAAGTAACCAAGGAAGCCACAAAACTTTACTAACTGTATGTGCCATTACTCTATACATTGCCTCAACAGAAGAACGGGAAACTACCGTCTGCTTCTTTGTTTTACAAGAAATTGGCGCTCCTCCCAAAAGTATCAAATATCAAGTTTGTGACCTTCTTGTGAAAGCACGCCCTAACCAATCAGAATCACAATAAGCTACAAGTTTAGTGCCTCCATCTTTAGGCAAAAGAATACATTGACCAGGTGTTTCCTTAAGATAGCGCAAGAGACGCATGGCCACATCCATGTGTTTTTGTCTTGGATTGGAAACAAACTAACTTAACAGATTTACAACATATGCAATATGTGGTCTTGTAGACTTCAAATACAATAAGCGACCAACTAGCCTTCGAAACTGACTTGCTTCAATATTTAGACTATCTGCACATTGATCAAATTGAAGATTTTTCTCTATCGGAAATGAACTTGGCTTACATCCCATCATTCCACTATCTTTTAATATGACAAGAGTATACTTTCTCTGACTAAGAACCATTCCACTCGATGTATTAGCTACTTTAATTCCCAAAACATACTTTAATGAACCTAAATCTTTGATACTAAATTTCTTATCAAGATAGGTCGTTGTTTCTTGTATTTTTGTTATGTCGTTTCCCGTAATTATCACATCATCCACGTAGATTAGGGCAACAAGGAACAAACTACCCTTTTCATAAACGAATAAAGACGCATCTGCATGCGTTTGTTGAAGCCTAACCTTGATAACATCAGAGTGAATTTTTGATACCAGTTGCGTGAAACCTAGCTAAGACCATATATAGATTTCTTTAATCTACATACCCTTATATCTCCTTCTTTACAAAAAACCCTCTAGAATCTTCATATAAACATCTTCTTGAAGGCCTCCATGTAAAAATATGTTGTGGACATCAAACTGTTGAACAACCCAACCTTTATTCGTGGTTATCGCTAGCAAAGTTCTGACCGTGACAAGCTTGGCCATTGGCGCGAAGGTATCATGAAAATCTACCCCTTCCTTTTGTGTGTATCACTTCGCCACAAGTCGATCTTTGTACCTTTCAACTATTCCATCAGGCTTGTATTTTATTTTATACACCCATTTTGAATCAATGGTGTGTTTCCCTTCAGGTGGATCTTCAAGTACCCATGTCTTATTTTCTTCTAAATCCTTTATTTCATTCTTCATTTCTTCTTTCCATCTCTCACATTTCGCATTCTGTTTAAAACACTTAGGCTCATCGCTTGCGCTGATGGCTGCTAAAAAGGCTTTGTGTTTATTAGAAAGATTTTCATATGAAATATGATTAGCGATAGAATGTACCGTGAAGGAGCTTTGATTGTGAATGGGATTTGTAGGGTCTATCGACAGAGGCATGTCAACCACAAAGTCTTCAAACCTCTTTAGTTGTGTTCTAGTTCTTCTTTCCCTCGAAATAATTTCCGTTTGCTGACTTTCATAATCTGTTTCATTTGAAAAACTTGGTTCTTCCATGGTCTGATCAGGAATTGGTTCACTATCATCAATGGTGACAGTTTCAACATCATCATTTCTAAGACTTTCTTTGTTATTGTAATTGACATCCGCATCTTCATCAAAAAACTCGATAAACATGCTTTCATCTTCATTGTTGTCTTTAACCTTCTGTGTCTGAGCTGCTGAAAATGTATAAATCTCTTCAACAAACCTTACGTCTCTAGATGTAATTACTTTTTTATCGTTGATGTCAAACACTTTGTACCCCTTTTTCCCTTGTGGATAGCCTAAGAAAACACCAGGTCTCCCCCTCACTTCAAACTTGTCTCCTTTCGTTTCTGTGTTCCTTACATAAGCAAGGCATCCAAATACTCTCATGTGTGCATATTCCAGTTTCTTGCCAAATAATACCTCAAAAGGCGTCTTAAAGCTTATTACCTTAGAGGGCAATCTGTTAATTATGTAAGCAGTTGTCATCACACATTCTCCCCATAGTTTAGTAGGCAAATTGGCTTTAAATTTCAATGCTCTAACAGTTTCAAGTAAGTGACTATGCTTTCTCTCGACCACACCGTTCTGTTGAGGTGTGTGAGGACAAGATGTTTCAAGCATTATCCCTTGTTGAGCATAAAATTCAATCATAGCACCTGAAGTGAATTCTCCACAATTATCACTCCTTATTCTCTTTACATTCTTTCCAAACTGAGTTTTGACCATGTTGTAAAAATTTATTAAGCATTTACTTGCTTCATGCTTATGTCTAGTGAGAAATATCCAAACAACCCTACTGAAATCATCTATAAAGGTGAGAAAATAATGAGCTCCAAATAGTGAAGGTGTTCGATAACTTCCCCAAATATCACAATGCAACAAATCAAAGCAATCACTTGTTTTAATAGACCTATCATAAAAGGGTAAGTGAATATGTTTTGCCTTTACACATGAGTCACACACTTTATGTCTAGCGAAAAAATCTACTTGATGTAATTTTGCTTCAGAAGCATGTCTTAGCCTTTTGTGCCAAATAGATGCGTCTAGTGTCACCTTCATTGCCTTTCTCATTGACATGCCCATTCGATATAGACCCTTATCACATTGCCCTGCTCCAATCAAGCTCCTCGTCCGTAAATCCCATGCAATAAAGAAATCAAAAAATGTTATATAAAAATTTAGATCTGTAACATCCCGAGATTTGCAAGTATTTACGAATCCTCTCTATTATTATTATTTTGTCATTTGTAGTCCCTGGGGATGGAAGAGTGAAGCCATGAGAATCCTAAGGGCTAAAGTTGCAACTTTAGGATCAAGAAGAGTACGCAAAGCGTACATAAGGTACGCTGAGCGTACTCACGACAGATGGAAACCCTAATATTTAGGGTTTGGGTGTTATATAAACGTCCTTAGGAGCTCACAACCCTTTATCATTTCAGCCTCCATAGCTTTTATCCGTTTTCCCCAAACCCTAACCCCTCTCTTGAGTGTGTGAGCTAAAAGTGTGTGTTTTGAGTAGTTGAAAAAGAAGGTATTGCACCAAGGAGTTGGAGAAGTGAGGCAAGCTTGTAGATCTGAGGTTACTTTGTGCTCTAGAAGCTCTAGGAGGTAAAAAAGCTCCAACCTTTATGCTTATATGATCTAGATCTTGCCATATTAGCTTTATGACACCTTCTTTTTCACAAAAAGTCCCAATTTTGTGCATGATGCGTTTTGGACGTAATAAGCTGTCCTTTCAGATCCTAGGAAGGGTTCTAAATGATAAAAATGAAGTCCCAATAGCTAAAAGTGTCATATGCAAGTAGTAGGAAGGTCTTCATGGGTTAAGACCATGTATTAAGGGCTTTTTGGACGTCCAAAGTCTTAAAGTTCGAGACTTTATGGTTCTGGGGTTCATTTAGTCAATGGATATGGAGTTTGGGCTTAAGTGCTTAAGCCATTAAGCACTTATTAGAGTTTTGGTAAAAGTCGCGTACGCCCCGCGTAAGTTTTGTACGCCCAACGTACGCCCTCTGTTGGGCTTTTGCGATTTGGGTTTTGGATTGGGTCACCTTTGGGTCATTATGGTTTAGGACTTTGCTGGACTTTCTGAATAAATATATTTTGGGTCTGTTATGGAAATGAACCTTAGGGTGA